CACCAAGAAGCATTCACCCATGACAATCTCATTCCAAAATATAACATCACTATTGCCATAGTGACGAAAACTCTCTTTCAGAATATGATGAATCTACAAAAATAGCTCCGAGTAATTCATCATGTTTATTTACTAAATACTTGGTTAGTTACTAATCAGCATTTATTATTAGCTACTCACAAGATTGTCCCTGATTGGCTACACAACCCTAACGTCTAACAATCAGACCAATCAGAGAACAGCTAGTTTGTTGCCAAGTTTGTTTGACCTATAAAATTCTCTATTGTATATATGCTTAGACTCAAGTGGGTAGCGCAGGCGTCAAAATAATAAGGTCAAAAGGAAAAGACATGGATGTCGGTCTTTTTGAAAGGAAGCACGGTGTCATGTCCTTAAAAAATACTGCATGATGCGTTGCGACGATCAAAATATGGCGATAAACGAGAGAGCATGGATTTGTACTAGCTTCTGTATTGGATATAATTGCACAAGCCGATGTTATAACAGGACGCCGTGGTCGCCTCCGGGGTGACGTCACGGCGATCTTTCTGATTGGTTAGTAGTTCTCAAATTTATTTCCAGCACTATATTCATCATACATACTTTAGTTTCCATTGATGATGTGATCGTGTAAAGCATGCATACACATAGACAGCCAACAACAAGAAACCCTGCGATCCTACCTTTGTTAACAACTATTCGAGTACACCCTTAAACAATCCTAATATTTGCAATGAATCGTATCATCGAGTGTTCCACATTTTTTCAGCTGCTAGTTCAGTTTGAATGAACTTTAATAGTGACCCTCTGACCAGCTATAATAAGAGCCATCCATGATATCATAGATGTTGCTATTAACGATGAGATAAAGGTCTCAATTGTCGATGTACAACATAAAATGGCAATAACACTAAACTAATACCTAGTAGCATTTGACCCTATGCTGGGACTTAATATCCTCTACTCAAGTTCGTTTTAAATAAGTGTACCAAGCGGCATAAATGGCACACGATCGAAACAAACATTTTTTTATAAAATTACATGCTCGTCACCTAATAAATTTGTGATTTTGAATTAAACTGATAACCGATATAAAAAATGCGATCAAATTAAACCATAATAAACTGCAATCCTATATAGGGTTGTGTTTTTAGTGAATTGAATTCAAGGTACCGTATTACCCCGGGCACGCGCCCCTCCCTGGGCAAGCGCCCACCCCCTGTTTTCACAAAAGTTACATGTTGGGGACATCCTCGGTTAAACGCCCAGGGTGATTTTTAGCCAAGAACGGGGTCAACAATAAAGTTTTATTTGTCAAAAACGAACGCGTTCGATTTATTTAAATAGTGTGTTTGTTACGGTAGTTCTCTTTTTGGAGTGTGTGGTGGCCCTGAAAAGGGCCGTTTTGTTTGTGTTTTTACGTAAAAACTCATTGGAACTTAACGACGTAAGATGAACCATGCAGCATGTGGCGCACACGTCCTAATTTCTCTTCATTCACGATGAATCCAATATTGCAATAATCCATACCTTGGTGAGTGGTTTGAAGCACTTAGCTTTGGTCTCAAAACGTAGTACTTCGCTGACTGTGAATCCCTAACGGGAGCACAGTCAGCTGGCATCGGTGTCGGTGGGTGTATATGATAAAGGGAAGTTGTGCAACTAAATTTGCCGAGTTCACAGTTTTTCGCCAATAAAAAAATAACTAAGGCAAAAACTCACGGTTTTTCAGCATTTTTGGAATAAAGAAATTATTCTCTATCAATAATCCGCCCAAAACAGGAACATTTCTACTAATTCTTGTGTTTTTTCGACGTTTTTTGAAAAACCTGCGATTAGGCTGCAAAAGTAGAACATTCCGGAGGGGGTGAAACGGAAGAGCCAAACTTAACGCGTAAAAATAGAACGCGTATTTTGACCTCTACGTGGTCAATGGCTGGACACGGATACGTTTGCGATCGTTGCCAACAAGCCCCAGCTATGGCATTACGGTCATGTGGATTATTTTTCTGTCGTTGAAGAAAAAACCTCAAGTCCATTACGATAACCATAATGAGGCATGCCGACGATGGAAACTTGTTGCATCATAATTTTTTCATGCGTGTGGGTGCGTGAATAAATCATATTAATGAGGACGACCAGAGTTTATTTTCAGTCTGTTTTTTATGTATCGCCATTTGGATATGTTTATGTATTCACAAAAGTTTGTAAACATTTCACATCAGTAATAAAAGGTTTATTTGTTTCATAACCCTGTCTGCTATTCTTCAAGAGAGAGAGAGAGAGAGAGAGAGAGAGAGAGAGAGAGAGAGAGAGAGAGAGAGAGAGAGAGAGAGAGAGAGAGAGAGAGAGAGAGAGAGAGAGAGAGACACAGAGAGAGAGAGAGAGAGAGAGAGAGAGAGAGAGAGAGAGTAAACATGTATATTTAGCGTAAAGTGAATAAAAAATAATGTTTAACAGATTAAATTACTTATGAATAGTTTGTGTTATTTGTTATCACGTTGGACAATTTCAGAAAAAAAAACATACTAATAATTATTAATAATAAAATATTTGTAATGTCTGGTTACCCCCAACATTCCTAATTATAAGTATGCTCGTATAATTTGTTTCAGTGTTCCAGCTTCAAAATTGTTTTTCCAATCATGTATACAATAGAAACCCGGGCCTATTTTGGCTTGCCAACGCTCACGCTGGCGAACAATGTAAAAAGAGAGACACTTGTTAAATGTGGTGACCAGTTTAGTATGATAGAAATCGTGTACAGTTTTCAAATAACCACAGTAGACAAAGTGAAGGGTCAAGACCGAATAAACAGTATTCCGGCGTTTCATAATAAATGCTTTCTATTAATAATTGCACTTTAAAATAATGAGATATGTCTACGTCATAACCTCGTTAAAGTTATTAGCATATTATATATTGTGTACGCTGTGCGCATGCTTCGAGCCTTTTTGCGTAATTCCCAACGCATACGTCATCACAGTAAGGTTAATTGAAGTTACCTTTTCATGCAATGTAACGTTCAGCACTATCAACTAGGTTTGTCAATCAAACGTTACGTTCGTATTCGAAGCCCACACATAAGCGACGCTACCATACATATACACAAGCTAACAAGCCACACCACACTGCCGACATTGCAAAGGATTTGTATACACTCCCACCATGTCATACGCTGTACTATTCAATTACAATTCTGGTCCCCCATAACTATAGTTAGACACGTAACGTATTTTCTCTGCTTTAAACCGCGGGTCATGATATATAAAAGGAAAGATGGCCGCCAGTTTTCAGTATGCAAATAACACTCAAGCATGAAACATCGCTTCGGGTGCTCCGCAAAATTGATTTAACAGGCAATTGGCGTCTGACTGACGATTGATTTGGACAGATACAAAAAACAACAACCTTCGATACATATTGTGGGTGGTACAATCACTTTATAACACCATATACAAACATACACAACATTATTTGAAACACATCAAGCACGAATGTGTTTCGTCTGCCAACAGAGGTAGTTTGGGAAAACGAAAATGTTCCGATAACAGCATAATGATTAGAGAGATCTGTTATTGTTTTATTCTCTCCACATCTTTCGTCATAGGGATATAAATGGCGGGAGAATAACGCAAATTCATCCATGCACACCGTGTATGGATCGTCGGTGTAATTGAAAGCTTGCATACTCGAATCGTCTGGATTTAAGTGCGCGTAACTGTACATGACATAGTCAATCCACTTTGATGTTTCGTTACTGGGACCTATGATATCATTATGCTGTTTGTCATTTGTGTATTTGAGAGGGCCGACTACAGGGGGTACGGTTGCCTCTAATACTTCCAGTATCTTAACCAGTTCATCTTGTTCTGTGTACATGTCTGTGTTGTAGTCCCCAGCATAGATGACTGGCTCGTTTTGGGGGATATCCTGAGACAGCATCAAATCATGCATTTGTTCAACTTGTGCGAGTCGTACTTCCGATCCGCCGTTACTTCTCTGGCCTGCCTGGAGATGGGTCCCCAGAACGTGATATTGCACCGTCTGTCCATCCACCGTTTTCTCAATCGCGGCATACATGGCACCTTTAGACGATAACATATCACTAGATATTATGACATAGTCCTCGTAAATGGTTTCTTCCCACGCTGTGATTGGCCAGCGTGAGGCGATGAAGACACCGCCATTTTCTGGCTGTGGCAGCAACGAAGTGTTCTCACCAACTGTGCCAGTGAAATAACGAAAGCCGTAATATTTGAGAATATCGCGGAATGACGCGCCGTGCATGTGGAAGCATCCGCCCATGAACGCTTCATTGAAGACTATCACGTCGACGTCCCCGTTGTGTGTCATTATATTTGGCAGCATTCTGCACGTGCGTTCATATTGTCCAGTTTGGTAAATCAGATAACGCAGTCCCCATATATTGTAGTTCATGACCTTGAAGGTCAATAGCGGAGTGGGTTGTGTGACTGCTACCTCAGGGATGGCACACAACACATTTTGTCCAGTTCCCGATAACGAATAACATCTGTCCCAGACTTCAAAATCAGATGAGCATATAAACTCCATACCGAACATACGGCAATAATCAGGGGTAAGGTTGCATTCTGCTGTGACACGACCTGCAAATCGAACAGTCTCTTGTTTACTCTATATATTTACGCCTGTACTATCAGCGCGTGCTATGAAATTCACTTCTAGCTAATTACACAAATAACTTATGCAAATATCGTCATTTGTAATAACCTATAGCTCCCTCTAGTGATAGAACGCTTCTGTGACGTAATCGATTGCCAATTTGGTTGTGTCGTCGATTGTCATTTAGAATAAAGTAAAATGTCTCAAAAACATAATTGATGAACCACTGCATAGAAGAGGTTTAGGGGCGCGATTTCTATTAGTATTAATATATATATAGTGTAATAGCGCATGTTCAAAACGCAAAGACTCATGGGTAGACGCTTGTTTGTAAACAATGACACGCTATGGCCATCTTACGCATGCGCAGGTGACGACTCCCCCGCTTTAATAATAGCTGCACAATCAAAAACATAAAAGTACTCACCTAACCAAACACTTGGTCTATCACCAACAATGCATTCAGCTGAAAGAAGTGATGAAATTAATATTTGTAATCAATACATTACAAAGTTATAACATGTTTATGACAGACTTGTTTTCGGAAAAAATCACTATTTTTGTTACATCTTAAGGCTAAATAACGATTTATAGTGAAATGAAAATATGAATATATAGTACTCGAGAACTTTAAAATTGTTAGTAATTACTTTCATTGTACCTGGCAGCGTTGGAAATCCTGAGTCAGATGTCGGCATTACACTAGATGAGAAGTCTAATCTTCCTAATACAGCGTAGTGATCTGAAAGGTCGGTGATATTCTTAGAGCTCCTACACGAAGACTGGTATGGGTACGCATGCCCAGGCTGGAGTATCCTTCCATCCATGCATACCCAAAACGGTTGCTCGTCAACAAATTTGATGGCCTCCTGACTGGCGTTACATGGCATAAGGTGGTCCTCACTATACAAGACATAATCGATCCACAAAGAAGGCGTGGTCAACCCTTCATCGAAGACGTCATTATGTTGATAATCGTAGGTAACATTTATAGGGCCGGTGATTTGAGGCATGCGGGCACGTAATATCTCCAGTATCTGTTCCCATCTGTCACCATAATAATCAGAGTTGAAATCACCAGCGTAAATAACAGGGTCGCTTTTCAGTATATTCTGCTCAAGCATAAATGCATGGATTTCTTTTGCTTGTAGGGCTCGAATCTCGTCGCCATCTTCGTTTTCTGTTGACTGCATGTGGGTTCCGAACACATGGTAGTACTTCGTTTCATCGTTTACAGATTTTTCTATTTTAGCGTACATGACACCCTTGGCGTTTAGAGCATCGGATGTTAATCGTAGGGCATTCCTGAACACGTGTTCCTGTTCTGCGACAATTGGCCACCGGGAAGCTATAAATACACCTCCATTCTCGAACCTTCCCATTGACGGGAGTTTTCCTACACCCAGTGTTTTGGTGTAGTACGGAAAACCATATTGCTCTAATATCTGGCGCATAGAGATGCCGTCCTGAGAAAAACAGCCACCCATGTGACCCTCGTTGAAAACTATTGCATCAACATCGCCATAATATCGAAATATATGTTGTGGGATGCGACAAGTGCGTTCAATCTGACCGTTCTGTTGTCCGATGAAGAGACGCAGTTCCCATATATTATAAGTTATAACATTTATTGTAGTAGCGGGAGTTGCTTGCCAAGTAGAACCACTCGGCGATGCACACAGAACATTCTGAAGTTCCGACAGAGGGAGTGGGCCAGGACGCCCGCCAGGTTCTTCCAAACACGAATCGCCATCTTTGTAAACATCGCTACAGACGTAATCTAATGAAAACAGGTCGCAATACTCCTCAGACAGATCACACTCTGATGTCGCATATCCTAACAAGAAAATAATGATAACGTTAATTGATATTGAATATATATATATTCAATCTCACACTTCTACACACACGCCGTTTTACTAGCAAACATAGAAGAAGCTTATCTTGAATATATAACGAAAATAGTACTGAGAGTTATATTTAGCCGTCATCAAAGAAAACCAACCGAGCCATACTTGTGGACGACTGTCTTCACAATCATCTGCAAATTAAAAATATCAACAAGTTAATGTTAATATTCGCAAGATGTACTAACTTGTATTTATAGTACATCGAACATCTATCATAATTTAAAACAGTAGCCCACCATATCACACATCTTATCAGATTACAAATTACAGGGTGAAATATAGCTGCTCCATACATGTCTAGGGTGGTCGAAATTGATCACATTTATATTTAAATCCAGTTGCTAAGAAACCGAGTATAACTATCAATGTACCGTACCTGAATGTGAGGCGTGAATGATGAACGCGGCGACAACGAAGATGGCGGTCTGGACACCGATGTTAGCCATGTTGACAGTCTTACATATCGTCCGTATCAATAATATAAATACGTATCTACACCAGGGGTCGGACTCAGTCTGTCGTACTATGCCCCTTCTGGGAGAAAGTTCGATAAACTTTTCCAAAGGTCACCACATTAATGATTATTGGATACAGTGACTGTACACATTTAAAGTTTACTTTTGAAACAAAAGGTCAATCAATGCATCTATAATAAGAGGTAGGAATATCATGCCCTGTCCATGCATTGAATATGTGATATATACTCATTTAACTCAAGGTCTAAGGGCATGTATATGTTATTCTTATCAAGATATCAGTAAAACTTTTCTACTAGGACGGGCTTTATAACTCACAAGTGTTAATGTCAATTAAGTTTGTTAACAACGTGATTAAACCACTTTCAAAAAAATGGCTTTCAATAAACGCGGTCATCTGTGATTAATAACATTAACATTTATATGTCATCTATTATTATCAAGTAATGAACCAAAAACACGATGATATCACCGACAAATACAGTCATGAGAAGTGCGGAGTTTCGTAGTTCACGTTTAATGCCGCAGAATGTTGAACAATTTAATATTCACACCGTGATATGCACGAGAAGAAAGAATTCAACCGAGTTGTTAGCGTGTAAAAAACACTTATATTTCAGTTACGTGTAAACCATTTTTTTTTTCAAAAGACACATGTAAATAGTTGAAAAAATGGCCTGAATTGTTCAACTTGAGATAAAACATTAGTTTGAATGTTGAATAAACAATCTGTGCAAACATAAGGAAATAATGTATACTACTATTAATACAATTCTGCTCGTCTATTCATCATTGACCGCAGTACATTCTGGCCATTTAAAGAATTAGGACGACGCCGATTATTTTGTGTTACAAATAAACACTATCATAATTGGAAGTGCATTATACACGTACTTATAGAACATTTACGAGTAATCGGTATTTGAAAACAAGTTGATGGAAAATTTTCTATTTAAAAAAAAAACGGTTTTCTTAACGTGAAAATCACGGATGGTTTGTTGTTAAAACGAATGGTATTTTAGGGAACATTGGACAGGGCTAGGTCACACACATTCTCATTGTATGTGTGTGCATTGACCTTGATCAATAACTTGTTATCGTTTATAACAGGACTGCACGTGGTAACGATCAACCAATGAGAACACGGCGTTTCAATAATGGCAGCGCATGGTAGCAAAATGCCCTACATAATACATGTAGTACATAACTGCTCAATAACAATGTCACCCTTTGCAAGTGTATGGTATTATAATTGCGATATGAAAAAAAAATGCTACTGGGATTGGACTAAACTGCATATATATTTACACAGTGCGTTGCCAAGGAGATTATCAATGCTGTCATACATTACAGATAGAGCACATCAATGTGTCAATCATCATTCGAAAAATAGTCATACATCGAAGACGGTAAACATAATTTGGATTTACCAGACAAACGTTGAGGAAATAATTCCAAAAATGCTTTTCATGTGATTCAGACGTTCTCTAAAAGCACGCTACTACACAAATCATACAACACCATCTGAAAGTTTTGATATAGACGATTACGGTAAGTGCATTTGCCGTATTAATGTGTCTAAGAAATTATTTTACGGCAAATTTCGTAAGTTAAAGAAACCTAAAGATGCGTTTACGTTTTGCAAAGCTTTCGGTTTCACACTCATCCCAGAGTGTTGTTTTTTTGTGAGCAGTGTACATTTCCTTCTTATGTCGTAGTTTCCAAATAACAGCCTTCAAACCTACACAGCAAAATCTCGACAGCACGTCCTTAGTTGTTCATCGCAGCAAAAACCAAAGGCAGATAAAGAAAAAAAAACAAAACAAAACACGAGACATCTGATACGAACGACTCGTGCAATTCACAGACCATTTGTGTGACTGAAAGTGCCACCCTATACGCCTATATCTAAGCTTTAGGATGCTATATAGTTTGTTAGCAGCATGCTTAGTAACTTTCAGAGAATGTTTAAAAACATAATTAATGTTTGGTGAGGTTACCATGCGACGTAGACAGCTTGTGTAAAGTACATAAATCATTGCTAACATGTTACATGATATAATGTGTACAACGAATGTTTTGGAGTATCTAGCCATACGATAAATTGATATATATGTTAATCATGTGTAATGTTCTTGAACTTGTAAAACATATTGAAAAGCAAAAAGTTATAATGTTTCCTCCAAATGAGTAGTAACTTTTATAAAATGCTAGTTGATTTATTGATTTTAGGTCAAAAATGCGTAAAGGAATATTAGGATCAAAATGTGGAATTTCGTAGCACCGTATATTGATGTTGATGACACGCCTTCTAAATAATCGAATCGACCCAAAACTGCGTAGTGATCTGACAGATCGGTAATTGTCTGGGTAATTTCACAATTACTTTGATATGGGTACACGTGAGAACCAAATAATCTGAGTTCGTGAATACAAACGGTAAACGGTTCTTCATCTACATATTTGATAGCTTCCTGAGTGGCAGCAACTGGCTCGCGATGGGAGATGCTGTACATCACGTAATCAAGCCAGTAACCCGGGACCCAATACTCGCTAACACCGCCAACATAGTCAACTGTGTGTATATCGTTGTAAACGCTGTCCGATGTGACGTTGATATACCCAATTCTGTCTGGTAATCGCGATTCGAGTACCTTGAGGGATGCTTCCAACCACTCGGACTCTGTGTAGAAATCGATGTTGAAGTCCCCACCATAGATAACAGGTTCCTCTGCTGGAATGTCTTGCTTCAACTTCAGTTGATGCATCTCGATTGTTTGGTTCAGTCTCACCTCGTCGCCATCATGGGAGGAACCCGACTGTAGATGTGTACCGAACACATGATAGATCATAGTTTCGCCATTCACGGTCTTTTCAATTTTAGCATAGACTGCACCTTTAGCTGCTATCGCATCAGCAGTAGGCCTAGCTTTGTTCTCGTACACTGTATCATCCCACTGAATTATCGGCCACCTCGAGGCTATAAAAACACCACCGTTTTCCATCGGCCAGGATAAATTAACCCCGACAGTGCCAGTGTAGTAAGGGAATCCATAATACTCCATAATTTGTCTGAAAGAAGCACCATGTCTTGGAAAGCAACCACCCATGAACGCTTCATTGAAGATTATCACGTCGATATCCCCGTGTTGAGAGAATATATGTGTTAACATTCTGCAAGTGCGTTCTATTTGTCCACACTGGTATACAAGATACCTTAACTCATAAATGTTGTAAGACATAACCTTGAACGTGGTGGCAGGTGTTGGGGCATAGACAGTCACACGCGGCACAGCACATAGTACGTTCTTCTCGGTGCTTATTTGCTTGTAGCATACATCCGAAACTTGGTAGTCGGCACTACAAACGTATTCCAGACCAAACATACTACAGTGTTCGGGCGTAAGATCACACTCACTCGTCGCAATCCCTGTGAAAAGAGCAGCGAAGCATTACTCAGCCTAGCACGGCTTTCTGAGCACAAATGAGTCAATCATATGTAGTTACGTAGTGACATTGCATCCATGAATATACAATATTGAACCAATCAGTACACACCTTCACTTTGCAGCATTGTTGTTTTGGTACACTGTTAGAAAATGCATACAACGTAAAGACCGAATATACGTGCACATATATAGTATCACTTACCTAGCCATACTTGTGGTCTGTCGTCTTTACACTCATCTGCAAAAAATAACTAAGAGAATAAATGACCATATCGACTCGGAGGAAATTCACGTCAGGAGGGTGTCGGAGGTTATCGTTCTAGTACTGATTTCACGTGTTTCAGATATGTATTGCCATGTATACATGTACAACTGACTCATTGCTCAGTCCATTTCTAGACACAGATACATATACACTATACCTCAGATTGTTTTATAGCTACGTTGTAAGAATCTGCGAGTTAGTGTCGATATGAATCTTTATGGGATGCTCAGTATCATTAAGGTCACAGTGGATGCAACTCATAATGCATTACGACATACGAAATAACTTTTGAATACATTTTTTTGTATTAAGTTATTAAATTCGAAATGCAAACCGCGTATTTTATGCATTATCTTGTTACACGCTGGTGTGTTTTTTCAATAGAAAACTAAACCTACCTGGAGGATTATAAGTCGGATTCGGGATTGGTTCAATAGGTGATGAGAAATCAAACGTTCCTAGCACTGCATAATGATCAGACATAATGATCTAGTACTGATTTCACGTGTTTCAGATATGTATTGCCATGTATACATGTACAACTGACTCATTGCTCAGTCCATTTCTAGACACAGATACATATACACTATATCTCAGATTGTTTTATAGCTACGTTGTAAGAATCTGCGAGTTAGTGTCGATATGAATCTTTATGGGATGCTCAGTATCATTAAGGTCACAGTGGATGCAACTCATAATGCATTACGACATACGAAATAACTTTTGAATACATTTTTTTGTATTAAGTTATTAAATTCGAAATGCAAACCGCGTATTTTATGCATTATCGTGTTACACGCTGGTGTGTTTTTTCAATAGAAAACTAAACCTACCTGGAGGATTATAAGTCGGATTCGGGATTGGTTCAATAGGTGATGAGAAATCAAACGTTCCTAGCACTGCATAATGATCAGACAGATCATTGATGTTCCAAGCATCGAGACATTCATCTTGGTAGGGATATCTATGTTGTCCTAGCGTGATTGGTAACACATTGTCAGAGGGTTGTATTGGCAAAGCTGCCATGCACACGGGAAACTTTTCATCCGCAAGAAACTTGACCGCCTCCTGGGTTGCATTACCGGGCATCAAATGTTGATTACTATATAAGACGTAATCTATCCATGTTCCACCAGTTGTTCTATCACTTTCCTTAATCACGTCATTGTTTTCGAAGTCTAACGTGACATTAATATCACCCACAATCTTTGGATCATCAGCTTCAATTATCGCCAAAATCTGATTCCACCGACCAC